CACAGAAGACAGGCGTGAAATGGATCAATTCCATGTATCGCCTGATGAGTGTGGTGCCGGAGGCCTAATTTAAGTCCCTTTCTCTTTACCACCCTTTTCTTATAAGGAGAGGTTGGGAAAGGGAAGTGGATTTGACGGTGAAGGAGATGCATAGGGAGGGGAAATATCCTCTTTATGTGCGTCTACTCCTCCGTCGTATAAGGATAGGCAACGCATCTGCAATTGCGGATGTCTATGGACAGCGGTCGCTTCGCCATTTTGGCGGATTCTGGTGGCCGCTTGCTCGTATGCCACCTCATGTAATAAAAAAAACACAATTCACTTCATTAATATAGGATCACCCTCAACAACATTATTGTGTCATCCGCAGATCCTGGGTTCAAATCCACGTCTATACAGTCATGTAAAACCTTCATATTATTTGTTATTGTTCCAAGTTGTCTTGTACGAAATGTTCAAACAACTGTAGCTTTTAAAGCAACGTCATCGGATTCCCCGAATTTATCGACTTTCATTTGCACATATACTCTCAATGTGAAGTAAAAATCTTGATATAACTTGAACATATCTGTTAGTGTATGATAAGACAGTATGTTTTTATAACTTTTTGAAAAGTTCAAATTATTTTTTATAAAAATCAATGTGCATTGTGTGTATTTATTTCTTTATATGAAACATGTTGTTTTATTGGTCACATTTAGAGCGCGCGCACATCTTTGACTCAAATATCGCACAACAGTTGTGCGATTATCTATTGTTTGACAGTCAATTCAACTGTTTAGCACAACTAAAAATCGAGTAGTGTGTGTATCTTTTTATATAAGGTCATACGCTTATAGATAGATAAAGCGAGTCTAAACAGTTATGCGATAGTTTAGTCAAAGATGCGCACGCTCTTAGTTTAAATTATGAGTGTAAAATGACGCTATTAACAATATGCAGGCTGGCAGCGAGACGCAGAGCGCGCGTGTCGCAGGCTCGCGCCGGCCGCCGCACTACACTGCAAATGCAATCACAAACCTTACACGATCGCAACCTTACAAATTATATAAAGTAACCATAGTGTTGTGCGCAGACGCCGCGCTACCTCACCCACAACTGCACTCACACTTGTCTTGCCATCCCTTTCCTTCTCTCTCACACAACGGAGACAGCAATATGCATACAAGTGTGAGTGCAGTACAACGCCAGCTAACTTCTCCTAAGTTGCTATTGTCCGATGTATTGTTAGTTAAAAGATGGTGAGGATGGGTGTATGTTTATACATGTTTATATATAAAATGAATATCGTAGGTTAATTTTTGTGCTGTATTCCAAAAGGATCATTCGATGCGAGTCCATCTGAATTGTTTGGAATTAACGGAATGGAGTTGAGTAATAGGGATGTGCGGTATCATTCCAAGAAACATCGATTAAACGATTTTTGGAATCGATTCTTTCAGTATGCGATTTCTATATATGAAAATGTTGTCGAGATTGCATTGATGTATAAGTTAATTACAATATAAAAATTAACTGAAATATATTAATTTTTCAGAGTCTAGGACAATGTTACTTCAATTGTTATTAATAAAAATGAAAAAAACACAATCAAGTTTTAATTTTATTAATTTTCATTTTACGTTATTATTGCATATTTATTTATAGTTCATGTCCAATTTTATTTTTGTATTATATAATTGAGGTAACATTGTCTTCTTTACTAAAGATATACTTAATAACATTTTAAAAATAGATTTTCAATATTTTGTTACATTACTGATAATAGTTCGAATCGATTTCATTTTAAATATAAAAGCCAATCGATGGGAAAACATCGATTTTAATTAATATCGTGCATCCCTAAATGCGGCACATTAGTCGCATTAGCTCCGTTGTCCATTAAATTAGGCTTATTTTTATTTTTTCAATTATTCCATCTTCGTCACATAAGTTTCACCACGGTACTAAGTATAAGAAATTTCTCTTTCGCACTGGGTGTTTGCATAACGTCAATCGTACTGAGGTTGTGCTGTGTTTAGAAATTTTGTGTTCTAACAATTCTTATATCATCTTAAAACACAGAATTGTAGATATAGCAGTATTGGCCTTAGTTTAGACAGATGTATAGCGATTTAGTGGCCGGACTATTCACATCGGGAACATAGTATATTAGTAAAAGACATATATCTATCTAGTAGTCTTGCTCTGTAACGTTTTTTATTATTTTTTTAATAGCAACGGTGCAATGTTTCAAATATCGTGGCAGAATACGCTCGTTTCTTAGTAAAACATGTAAAGTATTATAGATATTTGGATTATTGAATTGGATATATTTTTGTTGTAAACAATCTTTTAATGTAATTTTACTCAAGTCCTTATTTTTCTACTGTTACGTGAGTTAAGTTTATCTACTTAAATCAATCCGCTAACCCACTGTTATTCTGTATTGAGGGTTTCTTAGAAATTAAAACAGTATGCTATAGAGAGATGTTTTATTTTACATTCCTTTCACGAAACATTATTTTTACCGAAGCAACTAAAAATGATTAACATTTTTTATTCAACATCATGCGAAGATGCTTTTCTTACCTTTAATAAACAGAAGAGAATGCACATAATATGGCCCATATTTTCCTTTCCTTTGAATCTTCCCTTCCGTCAAAATCACATACCCTTTCCTTCTAAAATAAGAGCGAAAGGGGACAAAGATATAACGCCCGTTTTCTGTATGCATCTACGTTACCTAGGTTTTTGTTACAAAATAACTTCATTTAAAGAATGATAATTATTGACAGCGCCATCTATCTGGTCTAATTGAGAATGTCAACCATCACAAAATCTGTTCGAACGCAAAATCACTTCACCACAATAAATAACAGCTAGCAGCAGCAACGCATCATGTATTCATAGTCGTGGCAGAGACCGTGCAAGTTGAGCGGACACTGCAGGAATTGCGGACATAATACCGGCAGCTTGTCTGAAATATAATTATAGTGAGCAAATCAATTCTCTAAATAAAGTCCGCTACACACCTTTAGGTGTAACTGTACAGTTAAATGATTCTGTTAAAACTGTAGGTAGATAATATGTGGCTTTAAATTATCCAACTGCCTAACCCCTTTGGTAAGAAAAAGATAATTATATTCATTTGGTTGGCAGATATGGAAAGACAACCAGGAACATTTAGTAATAAAATCTTGATTATTAATATAGTTTTGTATTGAATTAAATGTTACCTAATGGATAAGCACATCCGCAACAATATCCGTGGATGATCGCCTCGTCGTCTTCACAACCGCGCGGTGGGCACCCGTTACATCTTAATCCAAAACCGAGGAATGGAAAGTTCCCTGAGACAATACACCGTGAAAAGATTCTATCAGTATGTCGATTACAGAAAAGACATTTCAATCAATAATTTAAACTTTCTCGAACACAGATTAATTCTAAAAAAAAATAAGTAAAACACAGTAAAGAACAACTGACAAACAGCAGTAAAATAAAATGTTAAAGACGTAGGAAAATCGTTTCGTTTTAAATATAAGTTTGCAGTATTTGTTACTTACATCTCGGTGCTTTCCTAACACCGTTTACGCCTATGTCAGATGAACTTGAAAATAAACAATTTCCTTTAGCAATAAAAACTATAGTCAAAGCAAGAAAACACAGTTTGAACAGCATTGTGTAAGCTTTTGTCGATAGTAAGGACCCGATGTACTATATAAGGCCCTTAAAAGTAATTAGTTATCTAATTGCGCAGGTCAGTGCCATGAGATAAAATGTAATTAGTTATTTTAAAAGCAGTTTAAATAACAAAAGTCAAGTTGCTAAAGATGAAGTGTGTAAAATTGAATGCAGAGGTTTATCTATATGCTATAAACACATTAATATTATAAACGAAAATATACCTTTTTTACGTATTAATAATAAATTATTAATTAATAAAACACTAATAATTAATTATTTCCTAACTCAATACACATGAAATGTTGTGTAATTGACGGAATAGATGGCGCCACCTTAGGTAATGTAATTTGGTACGATAGCCCGATAGATGGCGGTAATTCGTGACCTTCATATTTTGAAACGTGATGTTAAGGTTTTTGTTCAGTGAATAAGGACCCCGCACGTTTAATTTTCGGTATCGCTTCTCGGCCTTTTGGCTAAGATCAAAGTGTAGTATCTGTTCTTTTCAGCTTAATATCTGAAAGTTCCCGCACTGCGGGACCAGTATATTAAACTGATTTTTGTAAAACGACGGGATGTTCGGGGCTCGCTCCACTCCCGTCACGGGTCGGCCCGGCATTGCAGTGCCGCCGGGATCGGCCCACTATATAACATACATGACTAACCTTAAAGAATAGTCTAGAGTCTAGACTAGACTTTTAAGGGTTCATTCAGGACTGGGAAGTGATAAACTTTCAATTTCCATTACTTATATACGTTGACGTGAAAGTTCAGATATTCATACTTTATAACTTCTTTAATCAGAGGGGACATTGAAACCTTTTTTTTTGCTCATCGCCCACAACATTTTTATTTTATTATAATCTATTGATTTGTGATTTTTTTTATTATTGTATTCGATATTTAAATTATTTAGTTAAAAGGAATATTTTTAAGTAATCTTATTGATCACAATAAAACAATTTTAAAGCATACGATTGATTAAACATTTTATGTTAAATACACTTAATACATCGAGTATAGGAAGAACTTGGGATTAAAAATTACTATACGACCACAATAACAGACGGTTGGCCACATTGGAATTCATGAAATTTAATAATATTAACTGATGTCTATAATTGTCATAAATATGAATTGAATATACATTAATATGCAAATGAACGTCATCGGTTGATGATCGTACATAGCGCGAGTGACAAGAATTATTGTAAAATACATTGAGCTGGGTAATAAGTTAGTGTTAAAAAGATACACATCTTTTAAAAAGAGCTAATCTTTAGCACAATTAATTTTACCGTATAAGGTATATAAAAACTATTGTATCCACAAACAAAGCAATACAAATATACCTTCTATGTATATTGTTGGATTTAAATAAATTATTTTTCATTTCGACTTGTTCAATACTAGTTCGACTAGACACAAATATTGCGAGCTTATTTTATTACAGATTACAATCGAGGCATGGCCAGAAAGAGAAAGTATCTAAAAATATCGAATATTAAGTTTTTGATAAACTTAATATTCGATGTTTAATTTAGCATTATTGTACCAACACGATACTTGCAATGTTTCTCAAGTATTTAAATTGCGAACATAATACTTTTTTTAAAACCTAACTGCTTTTATTCAGTTTAGTTTAAAACTATTAAATCACTGATATAATAGATACATTAGCAAGGTGATAATATTTACATCGTCAGCGTCGTAAAACAGATCTACAAAATATTTACGAATCGGAAACTTAAGTAGAGCAGTTTAAAATTGCCGAATTATAATTCAACGGCGAGTATTGGCAAAATATTTGTTACACAGTTTTAAAGCGTTTACAATAACAATTCAAGAAATAATCAATACATTTTGTGTGAATAGATAATTAAAACGGCTTTTCTGCAAACATAAATTAAAAAAGAAAAACGTTAGAGTTGCCTTTGTTTTACAACGCCGATATCACTTTTCTTCCAAGTGATGCATTTAACCCATCTCTTATGATTATGATGGTGATGATGATGATGATGATAAGTGTGATATATGAGTTAGACGCTGGCACGCTCGATGAGGTCCGGCGTGAGCGCGAGGTGAGGCTGGCTGCGCAGCGCGCGCGGCGCCCGCTCCACCAGCAGCGCGCTCTCACACTGCTTGTTGCCCAGGCAGTTGCACGAACACACCTATACAAATTATAACACTTCATTATTACACACACAAATCTATCTATATAGCGTAAATATACACTTTGTTATGTAGGATATCAATTAAAACATATTTTTAATCATAAAAATCCCTACACTTGACACACTATAGGCTATACATTTTTGCTATTACATTTAGGGTGTAAATAAATTATTTTTTTTTTTTTTATAAAATAAGGTGGCAAACGAGCAAGCGGCCACCTGAAATTGCCAAAATGGCGAAGCGACCGCTGCCCATAGACATCTGCAATTGCAGATGTGTTGCCTACCCTTAATTGACGGAGGAGGAGACGCACATAAAGAGGACATTTCCCCTTCCTATGCGTCTCTTCCACCGTCAAATCCACTTTTCCTCCCCATCCTTTCCTCTTAAGAAAAGGGTGGAAAGGGAAAGGGACTAAAATTAGGCCTCCGGCACCACACTCATCAGACGAAACGCGGAATTGCTTCCACTTCACGCTTGTTTTCTGTGTGGTCGTGGTATTGCACCGGGAGAGCCTACCCATTCGTGCGAAGATGTTAAAGCGGGCTCTACCACTGTTAAATTAGGAAGTATCGTCACGAGGGAAAATATAAAAACTACAAGCCAAACCAGTAAACAGTCAAGGTTGCGAAGGTAACTTAAATTTCATGCAATGGCAAAGACCTTTATTGTCATTTGAGCATTACGATTTTCACATTTGCATTTAAACGGAATCTAAGCAAAAAATAAAGTTTGACAACATCATCCGGATAAAGCCGCACAGGAACAATTAATGTTTCATAAAAACATTTGAAATGCTAACAATACATAAACTCACCGAGGCCTGGTCTTCATGCGAGCGCTGGCGCGCGGCGAGGGCGTGTCCGTCGATAGCCAGCATGGTGCGGGAGCCGTCCTTGTCCTCGTCGCGGATGTTCTCCTCGGCTTGCCTGAAATACATAACATAAGCTTTAGCCCATTAATTCCCGCAGAATTAAAAAAAAAACTTAACTAGGCTATATGTTCTTCCAGACATTGTTCTGCATTTGTACCTTTCAATACCGTATAAGCCATTTTGGAGATAATAAAAAAAATCCTTCCATTCAAACTTTCGCATTAGTATGTTAATTATTAAATACAATAAAAGCATATACTTTGTGCATAAATTGTTAAATTCAATAATTTTTACATGTTTCAAATCTCTAGATATAAAAATACAATTTTGATTATTTAAAATATATGTTGAATGTAGTGTAACATAGCATTCTTACAAATCCATATATAAAAGGAGAGAAATGTAATTTTATTTGTAACAAATAAACTCAAAAACTACTGTAGGGACTTCAAAACTGCTTTCACAATTAAAAAACTATACTGCCGATGCGTAACAGCTAAAGTAGATTTTAATTCTCAAAAACTATATAAACATGGTTCCTGAATAAATGTTAAACAAACTTACATAGTCATAAAGCGTAGCACAAGTAAATTGATGCTGGCAGCGACCACCGCTAGACCAAACAGTATGAACACTAGACTCAGCGCTACATAGCCCGGCTTGCTGGTCAGAGCTTGGTCATTCTGAAAAATAAACAACATCTATAACTCATCTATACTATTATATTAAAGCGTAAACACACATTTTTTTGTTGCCTAAGATGTCAGCAATTACAGCGTATTTTTAAATATTTCTGTTTTTTTTTTATAAAAAGCCCTACACTTACGTCACACTTTAGGCTATATATTTTTACACCATTAAACTTAGGGGGTAAATGTTTTGGATAATAACCCTAATGTGGGAAAGAGACCATAAGTTGCTGCCAAAATCAAGGAAGCAAGGTTGCCATGGTTTGTCAGCGTCATGTCATTTTGACATTAGCAATTGATAATTTAACACGTGTTAACAATAAAATAAAATTTTCATAATTTTATGCGGATGAAGTCGCATGGGAACAGCTAGTTGTATATAAAACATTCATTTCTCATACTAATATCATAAATTCGAAAGTTTATATGGTTGGATGTTTGGTAGTTAGCCTAAACAACTGAATGGATCTCCATGAAATTTGGCATAGACGTAGAGGACAGTCTGGTAAAACACATATGCTACGTACTTTTGTTTTATTTTTTAATTCCACGCGATTGGAGTCACGGGCATAATCTCGTATAGGAATAATTAATCATTTAGATTAATGAAAAATGAGAAATTAAAAAAAATTATCAAATGGCTAAGGTGTTTTAAATTTCACTGAGATCTGTTAAGCTGTTATGGAGATATATGGTAACAAACCATCCATACAAAATCTTCGCATTTACAATATTAGTAAGATAACTCTGAATACTTACATGTTGGAGAATTATTAGTTTTTAACCCTTAAATGCATGATTTTTATTTAATTATGAAATAAATATTTCAGAATATATGTTTCAGTCACAGATTAGGGGAAGAATAATTTAAAAAATCTTGGTTTTAATTAAAACTATACTTTTGTTTGTAGACTTTTGGCAACAATATGCATTTAAGGGTTAAATAAATTTCTTTGATGCATGAGTTGTGTTTTTTTAAAACTGTGTAGTTTAAAAATAACTCACCTGCAAAGCCACGTAATCTCCGAAACCAATAGTAGTAAGCGTAACGAAGCAGTAGTAGAAACTATCAAAGTAACTCCATCCTTCATAGCGTGAGAAAACCGCAGCACCTAAAAATATTGTTTAAAAATTTGCATTGTGTTTATAACAATACCTATGGGAAAAAAAGCATCAATGTTAATTATTTATGTGTTTCTTATTGGTGTTAAAAATCCAAGATACTAAGCCCAATAAAATAGTTTACAAAAAAGTGGCAGTTAAAAAACATATACTTACGTAATTTCAAAAATCAGCTTCAGAGAACAAAATTCAAACCAAATGAAAAGCTGTAAATAAATAAAAATTACAAGAAAATAAAAAGGTACAAAACTAAAAGTGTAACAAAATTGTGATACTCCACAAGTGATAGAAATTGTGACTGCAAAATTTTTTTTATACTGTTTTTAAAACATTTGGTACCTCATATACTCTGTCATTCCAAAGGCCCAATATTATTCTTCTCTCAAATAGCCAAATGTACCTATGTTATTATCCAATTGCATAATCACCACCTAAGAAGTTTCACTTGAAAGCTTAAAAGAACAAAATTTTAATATAACTTGGTACTTCAATTTGTAATAAGTAAAAACTAAAAGAAACAGAAAAGAGGTAATACTAAATACTTTCAAGTAGAAGTAGAGTAAGTAATAACAAGACTAATATCTTTTTCAGTTTACCCGTAGTAATTATTATAGAAGACAGCATTCCAGTAGCAAACATAAGGTTCATCTCCGTAGCCTCAGTAGTAATACAACGTAAGTAGCATTTAGCCCGTCTTATCACCACCGAAGCAAACTTATTCAGTCTCTCACCAATGCTCTGGAACATCACCAGACCTAACGGGATACCCACCTGAAATAATGTGATTTTTTTTTAATACAAGGTGAAAAACAAGACCAAAATTAGCCAAACAAAGCTACAAATACATTCATTATCTACCAGGGTATATCCCACTTTAAACCTTTATTTTATGGTTTAAATTCCATAAAAATTTCAAATGTCAAAATTCAAAAGCTCAAATGACAACAAAGGCTCTTGTTAGAATTTAAGTAACCATGGCAACGTTGCTTCTCTGCTATTATTGGATAGTAGTTTTTTCTCTTATTAGCAGAACAATTTATTTTTCAATATAAGCCTAAAGCATGTTGCAAGTGTAAGTCTTTATTTAAAAAGACAATCAAAATATCTAAGGATTAAAACTAACCATAGCATACGCCATACAGAATGCCTTTCCACCAACTGTCACTGGTGTAGAGTGTCCGTAGCCGATCATTGCAAGTACAACAGTAGCAAAATAAAAAGCCCCTGCAAACTTCCACTGCGGACCCGCCTTGTGAGGTTTATTCTCAATAATTACTATCTCAATCATGTGATAATCCTCAGGAGTTATGTTATACTTCCGCACCAGACTATTCTTCATATCTGTAATTTAGACAATAAACTTTATATTAGAACAATTACATTCTTTAATTGGTTAGGCATTTTATATCATTGGTTACTAAATATTATATTACGCTCAAATTAATAAAGCGTACCGGATAAAACTTCCCATCTCTTCCTTTCTGTATCAGATTCTAGAGCATCGAAGACAGCGGCTCCAATCAACAGGTACGTAAAAGTACACACCACAAGGGAGAGTGTACGAACGTTTTGCCGCTTCATTTTCACAATCCTATGAAAAATGGGAACGACAAATTTTAAGACTCTTGTGAAACTTGCAAGCAAAAGCAAACGACAAAGAAACGGAGAGAGAACGATAATTTATTGATTTCGTTTTCCGTGACAGCCGGCTGTCCGTTCTTAAAATCATAGATTAAAACAATGGACACATGTTTCTCGCTTGTCATTTCCCTTTAAAATTGAGTTTCCACTGTATCAAACACCTCGTGCAAATATATTGTTATTTCTATGTGTTCCACGAGAATAAGTATGATGACTATACTTTTCCATTTAAATGTTTGTGCAGTAAAAACTGACGGTTAATTTGCATGAGATGACAATTGAAAAATAGATTTTTACTGCTTACTCTATGAAAATTTAATTGAGTAATTTTTGTCAAATTGACACTGACAGTGACAGTTCTTTATACCGTCATCGTGTTCGATTCGAAATACACTTGTTACATTTATTAAATCCGTAAAATACTCGATATTCAGCAAATATACCATATTTGTGAATTAAAAAAGGAAAATCCTTTTCCATATTTTAAAATAAGACGCCACCATGAAAATATCGTGCAATAAATCTAACCCTCCATTAGGTAAACCATTTGTATAATTTATTTATAAATTATGAAATAATGGCATAAAAATTTAATTGATCAGTTCTAATTTTATCTTTTTCAGGAGGTTTAATGGCTGCCGAGCTTTATAGATCATCAGTGAAAGAATTTGAAATAGTGTGGGGAAGTGAATCCCACATTCTTCTTCCGAATTCGTCCAAACCGGTGCCATATGGAACAAGCAATGATTTAATTAGAATATTAGAGAACGCGTTTAACAAGTCTGCTGGACCTCTTCAAAAGGTCACAATGAACCATTGGCTTTCATTTAGTCTTGTACTAGATGAGGATATTTCACAATCAGTTCAATATCTTGACAAAATTCTGGGACCTCTAACCTATCTTGTTGGGGAATCGTTATCAGTTTCTGATCTAGCGGTATTCAGTGTGTTAAATTGTGAGTTATTTAATATTTCTTCACCATTAAATTAAGTTCAAATAGCTGATAACAACTGTTTCAACATTAAACAACCACTAGAATTTGTGTAACAGTCTAAAAATATGGTATAAAAAATCATGTAGCTTATCTTATATCATAAATTGATATCTTGGTGATAAATAGTTGGTCATATTTACTCCTTTTTTTCAATAGATCTGTTAATCTTTATAAGCAATAAATGTATCATGAATTGAATACAAACAGTAAAATAACAAAGTGGTCAAAAATCATCAGAAACTATTTTCATGTAACTGGCACTAAATCTGTGCTTTCTAAGGTTCAAATAAACTCTTATAGTTTATATTATAATTAACAAAATTAATCTGTTGCAATTTATGTTAATAATAAATATCTTATAGTTTCCAGCAAATTTAAAGATGTCTCAGGAAAAATATCTCCAACAAACATTCTCCGATGGATGAAACTGATACAGGCTCAAGAACCAGTTGTAAATGTGCTTAAGCAAATACCAGATGATGTTTTGAATAACATTTCAAAGTCTCCTAGGTAAGTAACTTTTTACTTGAGTAAGTGGTTATAGCATAAACTTGATAGCTAGAAAATTAAAAAAGAAATTGTCAAGAAGAGAAACCACAGCTTTATTACATTTATTTCTATATGTACAGTCATCAGCATAAACATGTATGCATTTACATAGCTTGTTGTACACTTTTGGTGTTAAAAATACAAATGCATGTTTTAATCTACATGTTTTCGACTACAAATTTATGCTATTGAAAATGAATGCATATATATTTTTGAAAAAGAATGTCTAAATCTTTGTAAATTTATAAATATTAATGTAGCTGACTGTACCTACTTATACCTAAATAATGTTAGAGTTAGGATAACTGGTGATGAAATTTAAGTATGAATTATATAATGAAAATGGACTATGTAATTATATTTCTAGGAGGTCACCAGCAGCTACTAAGGAGGCTGGAGGTCGATTAGCCGAGGGCAAGTTCATTGAACTGCCACATGCTGAGATGGGCAAGGTTGTTGTGAGGTTCCCACCTGAAGCCTCTGGGTTTGTTTTCTTTTATATTTTACATTTTTACTTTTTATGCAATTAAATAACTCGAAAACTATCAGGCCGATATCAAAAATTGTTATCAATGAGTAACATAAGCTATATTTTTTTAATTACACGCTGGTGAAATCACGAGCAACATCTAGTCTTTTATATTTACATACAATTAAGTTTTATAAGTTTAAATTGTTCTTTCAGTTGCATATTGAAGATATGTTCTTAAAAACCTATACTACAATTGTTATTTAATTTCAGATACCTGCATATTGGCCATGCTAAAGCGGCTTTATTAAATCAATATTACCAGCAAGCATTTGAAGGAAAACTTGTTATGAGATTTGATGACACTAACCCTGCTAAGGAAAACGCTGATTTTGAAAAGGTATTGGCTATTAGTTCTCTTTAGTTAAATACAAAGTTAATAAGTCTTTCAGCATCCTTTTAATACAATCAATGCCAACTTGATGTAACAACATTTTTAATATAGTATACTAGCTGTTCCCGTGCTTTTCATCAGCATAAAACTATTTTATTGTTTACATGTGTCAAATTGTCAATTGCAAATGTCAAAACGACATGACATGACAAAACTTGGCAATCTTGCTTCCTTGATGTTGGCAGCAACTTATGGTCTCTTTCCCACATTAGGGTTTTTATCCAAAATATTTACCCTTTAAGTTTAATGGCGTGAAATATATAGCCTAAAGTGTAGCAAGTGTAGGACTGTTTATTAAAAAAAGTATTATTCAAAAACATGCTGTAATTGCTGATATCTTAGGCAACAAAGAAGTGTGTGTTTACAATTTATTATTATAGTATAGAAGTATAGATTCGAAAATATGTAAATCCTACATGCACATATATAATACATGAAAGAATGGTAGTAAGCTATAATTTAGTTCAAATTGTGGTAGCCAGGTCAAATAACTTGTTGGTCCATAGTTTTTCGCCATTTGCCTAATTGTTAGGGGTATGGACAACCCATCTTGAGGTCGAGGGTTCGATTTCCGCCATTCGACTATTATCAACTAGCTACTGTTAAATATTTCGACACAAATGACTACCTTTAAAATATAGACAGACGGCCATAATAACAATGCACACACAAACTGAACTCAGCAAGCTCCAACATCAATCTCCGATACATTTGTTCATTAACACAAATAGACAATAACAATTAACAAGCAAAATATACACTTGAAATCCCGATATTGTTCTTTAATATAAGGATAATAAAGTAAATCTCTTATACAACTTGTGATAGATTCATGTATTTGGAGAATCATAAGTAATCTAACTTCTATACTAATATTAAAAAATGGTGTCACAGAACATAGTTTACTTACGTGAACTCTGTAGATGTGGATTGAAAACGTTTTCGCATGATGCCACTTCTGATTATTAGATATTTCTACAAACTTCTTTTAAAATATAGACGGACGGCCATACTAAGAATGCTTGTAAATTATTTTAAAACACACAAACTGAACACCAATGCGACAACGCAACTACATCGAACGTTGAACACACACACACAAAACATTATATATAAATGTTAAGAATACAGAATACATCTAAAATAGTTAAAAAGCTAACTACTAATACATCCTTTTTCAAACTTACCTGGAATGATTAAAAGAAATATTAGTAAATTAACAATCTACTGATATTAAAAAAAAATATCAAAACATCCCGCTTCGACATATTTTGCTACAATCCTCTAGAGATAACACATTTATGGGCGTCACAGCCATGTTATGCTTTAATAAAATATAGTCTTCATTACCTCTTATGTTTTCTTCCAATTTGCACAAAATAACCTTACCAACATTGCCGTGGTGTCGTCGAGCTAATGCAACACCCTTATTTTTGACATCCGACTACTCTCCGATTATTAACATAACAAGCACAATTACATTTTAAAACCATGACATAAATATTTAAAAAAAACGCTTTGGATCACCATTACAAAGTTATATCGTTATTTCAAACTATGACCAATGACATTGATTTATAGCACAGACTAAATAACCTTCAAGAGTACAGAATACATCAAAATAGTTAAAAAGCTAACACATTATAATTTTTACTTTTATTTTTTTCAGGTTATATTAGAAGATGTAGAAATGTTAGAGATCAAGCCGGACATGTTCACTCACACTTCTCAATACTTCGATATGATGATGGATTTCTGTGTGAAATTAATAAAAGAGAACAAAGCATTCGTAGACGACACGCCCGCGGAGCAGATGAAGAACGAGAGAGATCAAAAAGTCGAAAGTAAAAATAGAAACAATTGTAAGTGTAAACAATAATTTTATTAAGCTTCATATTTTAAACCACTTTCTTATATACAAAAGCTTAAACTTATATTTAGCAATATTGACAATCAATAAATAACTAAAATGGTAACATGTGTGTTTGTATAATATATTGTTAAATAGTCTAATATTGTAAATGCGAAAGTGTTGATGTTTTTTTAGAGTTTGTATCCTAAACTACTAAATTTCACTCGATCGATGTCGCAGTCGGAAGCTAGTGTTATATAATTTTTTCAGAATCTCTGTATAATTCCTACTTGTATCACTTATAATTTAACTGTTACCGAAATTATATTTGCATTTATTCCTAATTTCTTTTTAAAACAATATTTAAAACTAGCTTTCGCCTGTTTCTCCGTCCGCGTGGAATTAAAAAAACAAAAATGAGTAGCCAGTATGTTCCTTCAGACTACCCTCTATGTTTTTACCAAATTTAATCGAAATCCCTTCATCCGTTTAGGCTACAAGCTAACATCCATCCATCGAAACTTTCGCATTTATAATATCAGTATGATGTATCCCACAGCTGTTGAGAAGAATCTGGAGTTGTGGGAAGAGATGAAGAAGGGCAGTTCTGTCGGCGTGCAGTGCTGCGTGCGCGCTAAGATCGACATGCAGTCAGCGAACGGCTGTCTGAGAGACCCCACTATATACCGGTGTAAACCCGAAACACATCCACGTACCGGTAACCAATATAAGTAAGTTGCACATGTTATAAACTTAATTAAAAAATACAATGCTTGTCATACTTACCAATCTTACTATCTTACTTTTTACTAATATTATAAATGCGAAAGTTTAGATGGATGGATGGATGTTTTTTAGCGTTTGTAGCCTAAACGGCTGAACGGATCTCCATGAAATTTGCCACAGGTGTAGAGCATAGTCTGGAAGAACACATAGGCTACTTTTTATCCCGGGAATAGTTACGGTTCCCGTGGGATTCATTAATTTATTTTTTAATGTTTACTCGATCATTCTGCAACGGTTCAACATATCTTATTGAAATTTCACGAATATAAAACAAAGTCTGGAGTACACATGGGATAAGCTTCATCCTCGAGAAATGTCCGGTTCCCGAGGGGTACGAAGCTTTTTGTAATTTATATAGTTCGTATGTTTTCTAATACCACGCGGACGAAGTCGCGGACAACAGCTCGTAATGTTATAAATGCACAAGTTTGGATAGATGAATCGATGTATCTTAATATCTATCTCCAAATGGTTTAACAAATCTCTATGAAATGCGCCATAAATGTAGAACATAGTCTGGAACAACACATAGGCTAATTAAGGAGTTTTTTATTTCCACGCGGACGGACTCGCGGGCTAATAACTAGCCTATCTTTCTTCACACTATATTCTACACTTATGCCAACTACAGAATCGTTAGCTGTTCTGAAGATACGTAATAACTGTTAAATAAACTTTGTAATTTTCAAAATCTTCACTCCATCGAAATGTATCAGCCGATGTCGCAAATATATCAATTTGGGTGTTATTATCAGCTCCCATACTGATAGTATCGCAATGAGTCGTGAGCTAGTAATTTCCATCAATCAATCAAAGCTGATTTCCACACTACTTACAGAGTATACCCGACATACGACTTCGCGTGTCCCATAGTGGATTCTGTGGAGGGCGTGACGCACGTGCTGCGTACCATGGAGTACCACGACCGTGACCCTCAGTTCTACTGGTTCATTGACGCACTTGGACTCAGGAAACCCTACATATGGGAGTACAGCAGGTATGTTCATAACGACTGTATTATCTACCTGCCCTTGTTACTACGGAGGTTCGGCACATTGTGTACTGCCCACACATTCATAATAATTCTTGATCTATGACGCCAATGATTCGTGATCTATGACGCCAATGATTCTTGGTCTATGACGCCAATGATTCTTGATCTAACGCCAATGAATCTTGATCTATGACGCCAATGATTCTTGATCTATAACACCAATAATTTTTGATCTATGATGCCAATGATTCTCGATCATTGACGCCAATGATTCAAGATCTATGAAGACAATTCTTAATCCATAACGAATCATTACAAATTCTGATTAACTTAATATAATTACTTGATGTTTATGTAATTTACTTTAAACTTTGCCTTTTCAGATTAAGTATGACGAATACAGTTTTGTCTAAGAGGAAATTAACGTGGTTTGTCGAGCAAGGACTTGTTGATGGATGGTAAGATGATTTTTTTTATATGGCAATTTGATCACCTTAATAATTGAAGCGACCTCTGTCCACTGACATCCCCAAAACTAGATTTGTTGCTTTAAATTAATGTATGTGCTGCACAAAAAGAAGATATTGCCCCTTCCTTGTAAGGGTAGGAAGAGAGAAGGGAAAAGAAGGTAAGGACACGCACAATCATCAGACTGTACGTGAAATTGCTTCCATTTCACGCTTTTTTATTCAAGTGTTGATATTTTCTTGTCATTGTTTAATAAGAATTGTTTAATAAGAAAAGGAAAGTAGCAGAAAAGGCAAAATGCATAGAAAATAATCTATCAATTTGCCTTTTTCTGCTACTTTTCTCTCTTTCTATTTTCGTTTTTTCTTTAAACATGAAGTATTATATTGTAGGGACGACCCGCGCATGCCGACGGTGCGCGGCGTGCTGCGGCGCGGCATGACGGTGGAGGGTCTGCGCCAGTTCATCCGCGCGCAGGGCTCCAGCCGCTCCGTCGTCTTCATGGAGTGGGACAAGATCTGGGCAATCAATAAAAAGGTGACAAAATTTACCTTACTTATAACTATTTCTTCCGTATGTATTGCTTATGCGAATTCCATATAAATGAGAAATTTTGTTTACGTATTTCACAGGTTATGTTATTTATTGTCTATGGATTTTTTTTGGTTTAAATGTATTGTTATAAAAGTTAAATTGTTAGTTCTTATAATTATACATTTATATTGAATTCGATTATAGGTACTCAGGTTTTTTATTATTTACTTCTATTTTAATTCGACACCTGTTTCACAGGTTTAAATTTTTTTTATTATAAAATATTAACAGATTTGTGATAATTTACTAATATGTCTTTTACCATACCAGACAAGGTTTGTGCTAGGAATAGTTTGAAATAGTCAAATAGTAGGATTCAAACCTTCGACCACATGATCGCAAATCCGTACCCCTAACCATTAGGTTTACATTTAATTTATATTAATCACATTCCAGGTCATCGACCCGATAGCACCTAGGTACACCGCTCTGGAGGCTAACCCAGTGCCGGTGAATCTGCAAGGTGTGTCAGGTCGGACTCCCCTGAGTGTACCTCTGCATCCCAAAAACCCGGACGTGGGCGTGAAGACGGTGTGGGTGACGTCACGTCTTCTCATCGACCAGGCAGACGCAATCGCATTAAAACAAGGAGAAAACGCTACCTTTATTAACTATGGAAATGTTATGATTGATAAGATTCACAAGTAAGTGTTTTTTGTTTCATTTTTAAAGCTAGGTTAATAGTTATTTAAACGGGTGGATCTCTTTTATTCGCTCAGTTATTGGATTTTTGTCCCATTGGGCCAAAACTATAGAATCAATCTGACCATAGATATAAACCTCCCATTGACCTGAACAATAAACAAATAAATAAATAAAATAAACAAAAACATCCACATAAACTTTTGGCGCGTCTCCACACGTTAATTAGTCCACCTAAGTGTATATTTTATGAGAATACTTGCTTTAGCCCGTGATTGCGTCCGCGTGAATTTAAAAAGAAAAACGAAACTGAGTAGCCTATGTGTTCTTCCAGACTATATTCGACGTCTAATACCAAATTGCATCGAAACCGTTCAACCATTTAGGCTACAAACTCTAGCAAACATCCATCCACCCAAACTTTCGCATTTATTAAATGCTGCAGTTAGTATGAATAATGCATTCTTTTAATTTCCTTAATAGGGATAAAGATGGTAAAGTGACAAGTATTGATGCTACACCAAATCTGGATAATAAGGATTTTAAGAAGACGTTAAAATTGACCTGGCTGTCTAACGACGTGCATAACACTGTGGAGACTTACTGCGTGTTCTTTGACCATATTATATCGAAACCTGTGCTCGGGAAAGATGAAGACTTCAAGCAATATATTGGACATCAGACTAGGGTATGTTTCAGTAAATACTATGTCCTTATTGTTCAGCTTCATCCAAACGAATCGAAAAAAAAAAGTAATTATTACAAATTACATCGAGATCTGTTCAGCAGTTTAGACTACAAACTCTAATAAACATCCATCTAAACCTTCACATCTATATTTCTATACCATATATTGTATATTATCTATACTATCTATACTATTATAGTAAAGTGTAAACACACACTTCTTTGTTGCCTAAGATGTCAGCAATTACAGCAATTTTTTGAATAATTCTTCCTATAATTAAAAGCCCTACACTTACGTCACGCTTTAGGCTATATATTTTCACGCCATTAAACTTAGGGTGTAAATATTTTGGATAAAACCCTAATGTGGGAAAGAGACCATAAGTTGCTGCCAACATCAAGGAAGCAAGGTTGACATGGTTTGTCATCGTCATGTCATTTTGACATTTGCAATTGATTTGACACATGTAAACAATAAATAAAATTTTCATAATTTTTTTGCGGATGAAGTCGCACGGGAACAGCTAGTTTATAATATTAGTAAGATTAATTTTGTTTCTAGTGGGAGATGTTGATGGTGGGCGAGCCGGAGCTGAGCAAGGTGGCTGTGGGGGACATCATACAGCTGCAACGTCGCGGCTTCTTCCGGGTGGATGTGGCGCCGGGCTCCGTGTCCTTCCACACGGGCCGGCCGGTGCCGCTGGTGCTCTTCCATGTACCTGATGGACACACTAAGGAGATGCCCGGACAGGTAAGTTATCACACATGTATTGTATTGAAAAAGATTTTTTACATGTCAGTCGCAAAAAGTAAGTTGAACCTTGAAACTTTTTTTTATTATTGACCAATAGCTTATCTTACTTTTTATTTATATTGTTAATGGGATTTTTTAGATGGATGGATGTTTCTTACAGTTTGCAGCCTAAACTACTGAACGGATCTTGATGAATTTTAGATATATGTAGAGGATAGTCTAGAAGAACATGCACACTATTTTCTTTTTTTTTTTAAATTCCACGCCAACAGTTGCGAGCGAAAGCTAGTTTTGAAATACTAGCTCTGCCCGCGACTCCGTCCGGTTGGAATTAAATAACTTCTTAGGTAGCCTATATGTTCTCCCTGATTATCTTTTAAATCTGTGCCAAATTTTATAAGGTAAAAAACATCCATCAATCCAAATTCCATTTATACTATTAGTAACAATAACACAGAGAGGCTTGGTTGTTCCAAATCAATTGGACCAATGGGATCTTTTCCCATTGAACAGATTGATCTGTAAGCCGATTGCGCCAACGGGACAATATCCTTATGGATGTGTCAATTGTAAAAACAAACACATTTCTAGTCTCTAAAAAACTCAATGAGAATGTCTCAGTTTAAATGTTTTGTAGTGAAACAAAATGAAATTGGTTAATTATTTTTAATCAACAGAACTTAAACATAAAGAACTTATATCTTACGACAATCTTATGGCCTATACAGTTCGGAAAACTTAACTTATAGAATGAATCTTGCGAGTAACAATTTTAATCATGTAAGGATTACAATAAAAACAAAACTTGTAATTTCACTGCTTACAAATGATTAATCAAAATCATATGAAACACTAAAACATGATTTCTAAACACATACAGCTGAATACTGAAACATTTAATATTACTGCGCCTAAAATACAAAGCCACACGTAACATCCAAATACAATTAAAAACTTAGGAACTGAAATTTCGTTTCAGTATTCAGCCTTTAGTCTACCTTTTAAATTTATATCTTGAAATGTATACATATTAAAGGTTTTACACTTAATATGGTATAGAAACTGAGTACAGGGCTGGCCTTTAAATATGTAATCAAATTAAAAATAGCCACAATTATAGGTTAGAATCTAACCATAGACAAGTTAATTAACTTTTTTAACAGGTTTAGATTAGAACATGACACTAAGGAACTAAAAACATAAACTATTTAGGTTTAACTCAAATTAAATCACTGAACTCAAATTGTTTTTTGAAAGAAAAAATTATCAGCATAAACATATTCAATTGTTAATCGTTTTCTAGGATCTATTACCAACATTCTTCCCAATAATCTGACCAATGATTGTAATTTATATTCTATGTTTTCACATGCAATATCACGTGTAGACTGCGCAGCAATTATTGATGAGTAGATGTTATTATTTTTCACAAAATTGTGTATCCTGATGTCAGAATACTGCAAAAAAAATTTCTTAGATGAGACTTTGCAAGAAATTAAAAAAGTTATAAAAACACAACCTAAGTTAGTCATTGATAAAGTAGCATTTTAATGGTGAAAGAATTTTATATATCGGTCCAGTAGTTTTTGAGTTATATAAATACATACAAAAGTGCAATGCTTTCCTCTTTTTAATATTAGTATAGATATACGTACCTGATTCAAACCCTTTTTGATAAATGTCGTTCCACGAAAATGCATATTTCTAAATCTGGACTCCTTAATAATATACTCAGGCATATTACCTAAAACACTCATCTGTTTGAATAAAACTTCATTATCTGTCGTTCCCGTGAATAGCATAGTATTTGTTGCCATTTCATAAATCACCAACGCCGTAGACCATACGTCGACAGGAAAACCATGAGAGTGGCCTAAAATTTTCTCTGGTGACGCATAATTTACTGTTCCAATATTACTTTTTAAATTATCTGAATGCACGTATAAAATTGCTTCGTCAAATCCGCATAGCGTAAGCTTCTCTGCTTTATCGTCTAGAAGTATATGACTTGGTTTTATATCTGAAACAATGAGTGGTTTTATACTTTGAATCTAAGACTGATATTTAGAGATTCTTGAAGCTTTGGTCATGTCTAAATTACACGTACTTGCTCAGCATAATCTTAAGATTCTAATATCCTTCTTAGCTGAGAACTTACTAACTTTGTGCCGAGGAAGATCTCAGGCAAATTTTATCAATTCTGGGAATTCAATATTTAGACAGTTGTTATCCATCATAATGATGTCACAATTCACCATCAGGCTTAAATGCCGCAAATAAATGTAAAGAAATTGTCAAAAGATCATAATGTTGCTTTATATTATTCCAGTCCAATGATCCAAACCAGAGCAGGATTGAAACTGCAATATAAACACACACAGGAATGCACTGGTTTTGACAGCTGGACTGGGATAATGTAAACTGGGCATAACAATTTACCATGATGAACAATATTTTTGCTTCTTAATACAATGACCGCCTCAACTAATTGTTTACTTAAAGCTTGTATTTCTTCTATGTGAAACTTTTTTTCAATCAATATTTGTTCAAGGTTAACTGCATAGTAATTTGTCATATAACACATGTGTCTATCTATTTGAAAACTGTGCAACAAATGAATACAGCGTAAATTTTCTTCTGGAATATCCTTCTTTAGTTCCTGTAGAATGTTCTCTTTTTTCTTTTCTTTTAAATGATTTGTTGAAGGATTGCTGAAAAGGTTTAGACTCATTTGATGTAGGGTGTAAATAAAAAAGGTAATATATTGAAAGAAAAAACTTACTCTAGTATCTTCACAGCGTAGCAATCTCCAGATGTACCAATACATTTAAATATTTTAGAAAACTTTCCGTAGTGTGTCACAGCAAGTACAGAATATTTTTGTTTCAAGGTATCATACATCTTTATTTCTAAGTTATGTGCTAAATCTTTATCCGATTTTGTAACAAACTTGTTTAATATACCATGACCAATATTATGTTTATTTGTACTATGATCTACACATTTAACTTTTTCCGAGCAAACCTCCTTTTTAGTTTCTTTAGAATCTTTTTTGCGTTCTGTACTAATTATGTTACTCTTAGATTTATTATTCATATTTTTAGGAACAATATTGCAATCAATTTGATCATTTTCATTTTTTCTTTTATTTTTTTCTGTTGGTATACCTGCTGGTGATTTTTCTTTTTCGATATTTAGTTTTTGTATTTCTTCAGTCTTATTGTCAACCCTAAAAAAGAACCGAGCGAGTTAGATTGTTTCTCCCTAATAAAAAAATGTTGATATAAAAAATATCAAATTGAAAGATTTTGAAATCTTACTTTGAAGTGTGCTTTTCTTTGTGATTTGTATTTGTCTGTTCTGTATTCGACGTTTTTCTTCTTTTGGAACTTTCGGTTACCTTTTCGTCATTAATTATAGGTTTATTTTGTTGCTTGCCATTAAATAAACTTTCTACCACTTCATCTACATCAAAATCGTCCAGAAAACTCAAATCTCCGTCAACATTGCTATTGGTTGATCTTGTATTATTTTTGCTATGCAAATTATTATATGTCACATTAATAATTATTTTTATTGTTTTGGGCTGTACAGTTTCGTTTTTGCCTTGTTTCACATCCTTTGTGGAGTACTTTCGATTTACTTGTGCTGAATTCTTTTTCGTTGCTTCTTTAAATTTTTCAGGCATATTTTCCTCTTTAGTTTCCTTAACTTTGTGTTTAAATGTTTTATTTATATCCATGTTTTCTTCGTTTTTAACAGTATTGTTGTTGTTCACACAATTTGTTAATGTTGATGTTCTCTCTAAACAATTCCCCTCTTTGTTAGATGTTCCCATATCACCATCAGAGTTATTGTTTGGTTCAATTTTTATATTGTTACTAAATGTATTGTCTTTGAAACTCTCTTTATTCAGATCTGTATTGTTGGTACATGACTTATTACTATTTAATATTAATCCTGAAGTAAACTGGGATGTTACGTTTTCTCTCTGATTATTAGGCTTGTAGTTTTGTTCAAGTTTAATTTTAGAAGAAATGTTTTCTCCTATCCTAACTGTGTTAGATTTATTAGGACCATTACTCAATATTTTATTTGGGGTAATTTCACTTTTAATTGGTTTCTTTAAATCATCTTTATTTATTTTTTTGACTAGATTAGAGTCCATCTGTTAAAAAACATTAATTATTACACCATGGTTAAGTCATGGTGGAAGTATTGATGATTTGTATTACAGTTAGAATAGCAATGCATTTTATTGCTGGGAGATATTAAGGAATAAGGAAACCTTTTTAAAAGTAGTGTTGATAAAAATATGTTTTTATATAATTATACATGTAAGACACTGTCAACTTTTATTATAACATTGTTTTACCATCTACAAAATATCAAACAATAAATAAAATATAAATTTAAAAATTACTGAAATTCCATAATTCTTTTGCCATTACAAAGCTACATTATCACTGAATAACATAAGGTATATATTTATTACTAGAAAAGTTTATATTTTTTAATTCATTGTGGATTAAGTCTAGAGAAAAAGCTACTATAATATATAATTAATCTATTGCTCAATCTGCTGCTAATTAAATAATAAATAATTACAATATCTTACTACAACCAATTTATAAGACAATTTGTTGAGAAACATGACAAATGTACCTCTGTATAAAGTTCTGACATTTTATTATCTTGTAGAATTTTTAAATTTGTGTTTACTCTGTTATCTGCTTTCATTTTCTTCACAATTGGTGGATAGTTTGACTTGTTAGGATCAATAACAATGTTAGGACTTTGATATGTTGAAAAGTATCCTTTGTGTGATGTCATTTTCTGTGTCAACAAGAAAACGTGATGTTTATTAAAGTGGAAAGTTTCCGAAACTGTTTTAATAAAATTCATGCTGATCATAAGTAAATTGTTGAGGTTACTAACCTCTTTGTCATCAATATCCACAGTAATCGGTAACCAGCTATTTGTGTAGCTATCGAATTATTTTGTAAAAATTTAAATCGTAAACGACGCACGAGTTTATGTAAGTCGTGTGTTAACTATTATTCTAAGTAAATAAGTCTGATGTTTTAAATGTTGACTAAGATATAAACAGCATTTTAAAACATACTGTTCTTTGTATAAAACACGATTTAACAATCCGACGAAGTGAAACATGTTAAGAGCTGAAGAAACTTACCACTCTTTTCATCCTTCTAGTTTAAATATCTGTTCATTTTTAATAGAAAACATACGAAAATTAATTGCACACCGCACCAGATAAATCTCAATGCGTTTGTTTTGAATTCGAACTGACAGCTGTCAGCTGACATTTGCGTTGAGGCTCGTAAACAAAGTAAAAAAGATGATAAAGAAGCGCAACAAGTTTGTATAGACTATCTTATAATTGAACTTTGTTAAAAATAATTCTTAATTTGCATTACACATTATGTTTTTAAATATTTTTATATCGTATAATTTAAAAAATAGTTGTTGCACACGACGTCGTCTGCGTGGAGTTTGAAAATTCAAAACTTACATTCGCCCTTTTTTTCAACCTATTGCCTTAAGTATTAACTTAGTAACTAATCTACCTAATAACATAAATCTACTGATGCCAGATTGCAAATTTCCAAGCCCGGGTAGCCTGTGAGCGGATTTTTGGGTTACCCTTATTATTTGTGTTTGCGATATATTCTAAACTACTAGTCCAATTTAAATACTGTAAAGGACAATTTTAATCTACATTAAATTCTCCTGAAAACAAACGCATTTATTTTGATAAGGATTAATATTAAAACCAATAAAAGAATGCCGCAATAAGTGTGTGGTTTTTAAATCTTTTTGTAAAAAAAAGTTGTTATTGTAAGGAAACTGTTTAAGATAGATGTATGCTATCGCGGACTTTTCTGTAGAACTTTACAGATCTACAATTTTTTTCATACATAATTTTTTCATATATCTAACGGTTTAGGCATCGTAAGCCAAGAAAAGTTAAAACATTGTAATTTTTTAACGCCGCGGTCCAGAAATATGTTGTTAATTAATAGTTCCTCAATATTAGTAAAAATAAAATATAGCCTATGTTACTCACAGATAAATTTCCTTCCTAACGGTGATTTTTTTTAAATCGGCCCAGTAGTTTTTGAGTTATTTCAATACATACAAAATAAAAATCTTTCTTCTTTATAATATTTTAAAATTTTTAACTGACTTAAAAAGGTTTTTTAACTCATCTATTTTTTTGTTACATCATAACTCCGCTTCCGATTGTCCCATTTTAATGAGAATAAACACTTTTGTATCAAAATAAAATTTACATAATTAAGGATAAACATACTTCAACGTTTTTATTTATTTGAATATTCCACGGTGTTAATGATTCCTTTATACTCCTGTTCAATTTTCGCATCATGGGAGCGTCTATTTTCCTACATGTGACGTGGCTTCATTTTCTGCAAGAAAGTTTAAGCACTTTTTAATAAGCACGACCTTTCTACAACAAAATGTAAACAACCTGAAGAACAAGCGGTATGATTCGTATAGGACTGATATACATTTTAAAAGCAAAAACAAATACCGTTCAATTATTTCACCATATCCTGTCTTCGTTACATTACGTAAAGTATTCTAAAATCAGTATTATTTTGGTCAACACTCACCTCAAACTAGGAGATACTGAAAGTACTTCTCACTGCCGCGTTCCTTCATATGCTAACGGAAGGTAGATTGAAAATATTTCCGACATTATTTTTTTTTAAGACTTGTGCCGGGTAGGTGAACATTCTTTGCTGCAATTGCATTTTTAGTGAAGTTAAACTACTAGTTATAGCATGTCATTTGTCTTGTACAAATAACTTAACTTCATTACGTATTTCGAAAATTATGTTCAGTTTTTATGATATTTTCACTGATACCCTAGTGCCGCATAAAAATTTGCCGAAATAAAAATAACCATATTGATTATGATATGTTTCGTGTAGGTTTTTAGCAGTGGAAACCGACGGTTATGTAATAATCCTGGGAATACATTCCGGGTAGAACGTGAAGCATATTTTTCTAAATGAAAGGCAATGCTAAATCCTTGCACATAAAATAAACTGGAGCTGAAATTAAATCTTCGACCCCCATCGGATTAGAACTAGATGTTTTTTTTCTAAATAATCAGCTGTTATCTATAATTTTTTAGTTTACATTGAAGGTTCCGCTTAAGGTTTTGATAAGCTCGGTCTCTCAAATGAGTCATTGTATATCGAATTGGAGATTCATGTGTTGAACTGAACTATATACGAAGTGAAAGGCTTGGTTGTTCGACTTCCACGTAGTGAAGAATGATCAAAACGTGTAGTAATAAGAAAGCAGCTGTGAATACGCAACGTGTGTTGTGTGTATTTATATTTTTGTAAATTAAAGTTTTAATGAGTGAGTGTTAGTAATGTTGTAATTTATTTAATTCCTCATGTACCATATTTAAAAGTTCTTGAATGTATTGGAATTAATTTCGTTTAATATTGTTTGTAAATGTTTTTAAACCTTAAGCGGAAAAAGGACACGTTTTTCAAATTCTAGGAACTTGTAAATAATATTTTTTAATAATCAGATCTCTTTAAAGTTTGTGCCAGTGGTTTTGGTCAATTCAAAATTAAGAATTAACAATAACAATGAAGTTATAGTAGTATATTGCTTCAAAAATGTGATTTTATTTTGGACTAGCTAATTTAACGAACGTTTTCTTGACTTATTTAATGTTTTTTAATCAAATATTATTGTTACAGCCGAAAACGGCCCAAGCGACACCTGTCAAACAAGAGCCAAAGAAAGCTGACGCGGCTGGCGACTCCTCTAAGTTAAACGAAGAGATCGTTAAACAAGGAGAAATAGTGCGGTCCCTTAAGGCTGCTAAAACGGACAAGGCGCAAGTTGACCAGGCTGTCAAAGTTCTACTGAACTTGAAAGCAAAGTACAAGACTGCTACTGGACAGGTAATTTACGATTGTAAACAGTCAATCTACTTTATTGCCCTTTTTGATGATTCTTTCTTACTAGGATTGGAAACCCATCACTCCAGTGCAAGCGCCAGCGTCTGGCGACGCGTCATCCCTAAGCCAGCAGATCACTCAACAAGGCGACCTCGTGCGCTCCCTTAAAACTGCTAAAGCCGACAAACCGAAAGTTGACGAGGCTGTCAAAGCTTTACTGCAACTTAAGGCGAAGTACAAAGCTGCTACTGGACAGGTAAGATTGTTTATCTTTGAAATGTCTAAGTCCCCTTTCGTGCCGGAGGGCAGGTGAAGGTGAAGTGCTTTTTAGGGCTAGAAAATTGAAAAATGTAAAATACATATAAAATGGTAGCCCCTCCCTAGAACTAATCAGCTGGGGACTACCACGTGTGTAGGAAAAATAGTTAAACAAATACTGCCACAAAAACATGTTAAAAAATTCTATTTTTAAATTAATCTACGTTACAGACACATAAATCTTTATTACTTGTCTGAATTAGAAGCAAAACATTTGTTCTTTTTTCTCAGGAGTGGAAGCCAGGAACATCACCTCCCTCAGTTACGTCACCGTCCAGTGACGTCACCGCTCTGAACCAAGAGATCACCGAACAAGGCGACGCAGTGCGTTCTCTGAAAGCCAGCAAAGCGGATAAAGCAAAAGTTGACGAAGCTGTGAAAGTGTTGTTAGAACTCAAAACAAAGTATAAAACGGCTACCGGACAAGTAAGTAGCTGGAGTTTTCTTTATTACTTTTTAAATAACTAGTTATCGCCAGCGACTCCGTCCGTGGAATTGTAAAATACAAAAGTAACCTATATTTTCTTTTACGTCTATACCAAAATTCATCGAAATCCGTTCAGACGTTCAAGATACAAGTTCTGACATCCATCCATCTAAACTTTCGCATTTATAATGTTTTTTATTACTGTAGACATAATCGTTTTTTTTTTTATAAAATAGTTATTATATTGTAATATGTTTTGTAGTAAAAATGATCTAAATATAACCTCAAAACTTATCTAATTTGATTTACTAAGGCTATTTTAAATTATTAACCAAACGGGAACAAATAAAGTTTTAAGTTATGTATACAAGTATCTGATTAACAATAAATCGAGGCAATAAATCTTCAATTAAACAAGCCGTGCATCTGAACAAATATTACTTTGCGTC